TAATGTATATCACCCAGCAGATGATAGATCTGAAATAGTAGAGAAAAACAAGTGACCCCTTACAGTTAATGCTCTTCTCTGCTCTGCCCCAGGGTTTGTTACCTCGCGGAGAAAAGCCCAACCCTTTGAGGCAAAAGAATGCCAAGGTGAACCAACTTCTCAAGGCTTCTCTGCCGAAGCTCACCAACGTGCAGCTCCTAGATACAGATGGAGGTTTCGTGCACTCGGACGGTGCCATCTCCTGCCATGACATGTTTGATTTCCTGCATCTCACAGGCGGGGGCTACGCAAAGATTTGCAAACCCCTCCATGAACTGATCATGCAGTTGCTGGAGGAAACACCGGAGGAGAAACAAACCACCATTGCCTGACTGGCCCACATCAGTGTTAATAGTGTCCCAGCTTCCTGAGATCAGTTGTATCACTGGCACTACAGATCCTCTTTCTTAAGGCACTTTGCATTGTAGGATGTTCCTGGATGCTCGTATCTAGTGTTTGAAGGGGAGGAGGGGTTTAAACTGGTCCTGTATATAGAGGGTTTATTTGACACAGGAGAAATTAGCCAAGGAATATTGTTGTTGAATTCATTTGAAACCAGAGGGGACTTTTTAGTTGTATGTGTGACACCTTCATTGAATTATCACTGTTTTTCCTAGAACATCGTCAGGCTCAAGTACTGAAAAATACAAAGATTTTTTGCTTGGCCTTTTTCTGTGGATTATGTTATACATCATTATCAGAATCACACCTACTTAGCTATAAAACAAGCCATTTCCCCCCCCAGGGTTTAAGGTTTATAATTTAGCCTTTTGTATTTTGTTTCACTCATATTGTGTGTGCAGTGTTTTCTGAACATACACATCAGATTAAGCATGCTTGTCACTCAAGTCTGGGAGATGTTCTAGTTCCAAGTGAATTTCTTCCACTCTTAAATTTTCCTAAGCTTAGCAGTGAAAAGCAGGTTTTACCCCCTCTGGGGAACTCTTTGGAGGACATTATTTTTATGCTGCTGAATATCATGTCTATAATAGACCCATGCATGCAGCCCTTTCTTCCCTTCTCTCTCTCTGTCTCTCTCTCTCTTCCTGTTACTTCTTTTTTACTGTATTTTTGAACTAGGACCTCAATTGCTGGAAGTGTATGTTCCCAGCCAGTTACTCTCGTGATATTACTGATACATGCTTCATTCCTGTGTGGCGCTCTGTGCTGTGGAGTCTGTGTGGTGTTACTCATACTAAGAGTTCTGGTTGGTTTTTCCATTAAAGCCTGTTAACATTTCTTTTTCTATTTTTTTAACATCTTTTTTTGAAAAATAAAAAATCAGAACTCTCTCCCATTCCATAACATCTGACATTATGTCAAGTCTTACAGTATCTTAAGGTGTGTTTGTGGGGTTTTTGTGTTTTTTGTTTTTTTCAGTTCTGGGGATCAACCTAGGGCCCACACATGCTAGGAAAATGCTGTACCACTGAGCCTCACTCCCAGCCCTATGTTTTATTTTATATTGAGTTCTTAAATTATATTGGTCAAGAAAGATTTGGCTTTTTTCATGGGGAAACAGTGAATCTGCTCTCAGAACAGGCATCGTGTGTTTACATCAGCATTTTACTTAGAAGGAACTAAGTCCATCTTGACTTGTAAGGTTTCTCACTAATGTACCTTCATCTGAAAATCTCTTTCAAGAGAGGCCCTTATAATCTCAATGGCTTGCTTGAGCCAAAAGAACTTCCACTCAGAAGAAGAATAACAATGAATGGCTTGTTACTGAATGTACCTGTGAAATACTGACAAACTGGATCTACAAACTTGTTCAAGCTGGACCAGGTTGGGTATTGAAGTAACCCATCAAAATGTGCGCTGCAGTGATTCTGTTTAATGTTCAAATTCACTGAAGTATGTGGTTTATGTTCTGCTCACAAAGCAAATGAGGAGGGAGGCTTCCTGTGTTGGAGTAAGGCTTATTGATTTGTTCTAAGATCCGCTTCTGACTGGGAAGGATGAAACTTGGGCTGTGTGTGTGTGTGTGTGTGTGTGTGTGTAGCCTCTTTCTAGGAATTTGCTTTTGTCTTCTAGTCTTCTGAATGTATCATGTCATTAACAGAAAATACACATGGTGTTTACTAAACTTGTTTACTATATTGAAATTTTATTTTTAGTAGCCCAGGTTCTTGAGTTTTTCAAAACAGTTTTTTTTTTTTTTTTTTCACCTTACATGAGGTATAGTTTCAAGAAGAAGAGTTAAGCCAGAATTTTGTGTGCACAAGGACAGTTGCCTGTTGAGGTTTTTTTGTGTCTGTCAGAGGGTGGGAGTATGGTCCAAATAAACCCATTAGGTTACTCCTGTAGCATGTGCTTTAGCTTCTCTCTTGACTGCGTATCAAAATTCCTTTGTGAGCTGGCCTGCAGCTCCTTTGTTTATGTGTATAAACCTCAGATGTTACTACATTTTATATCTGCCAGAGCTCTTCAAGCGATAGTGTTTGAACCACTAGTCTTTTAAATAAAATTCTGCCCTATTGCCAATGTGCAGATACTGAGTCCACTGTCATTTCTTGCCAGATATCTTTGCAGTGCTTTAGACAAAAAGCATTCGTCTGTTTTTCTTTGGGTAACACCCCAATTTACTTTAGTGACAGAATTTACTGCCAAGTCTGTACTTTTTAAAATGTATACATTTCATGCTTTGTCCATGTCTATGTTGTCACTGTGGAGGGACCAACTTTCTAGGCAGTGAGCAGAGGCATTGTTCTGTTTCCTTTCCTAGTGGATTTTAATCCCTCTCCCCACCATTCCTGCTACAGGGCAGCCAGTAACCGAACTATTAAGATCTGTGCGGTCTATCTCAGAAGTGGTGGGATGAGGGGAGACGCACTGCCATGGACAGTCTAAAGCACATTGTTTTGCTGCCGTACCTTATAGATGGCGCTGGACAGTTCTCTGGCTACCATGTTGGCTCTCTCTGAACTGTTGACATGTGCTTACACCTGGATTTTCATTCAAAACTTTAACTCAGTACAACAAATCTTAAATAGCTCATGCCCTGTTAAGAATTGTAATGTTAAAAACAAAAAATCCAAACTTTTAGTTTTTTAACCTAGTCACTGTTTACAGTGTATGCTAATACCTGAATTACTGTCTGTGCTGTGGATTATGAACATTACCAGTCTTATATATTTATTGCAGTGAAGAAGAAACTGAAAATATATGAGAAGGAGGAGCATGCCCAGGCTCCTGAGGCCGTGTGGATGCGTGTGGGAGCCCTGAGTGGGCACCTCTTGAGGAGGCTTTCCGCGGAGGGGCCCCCCCCAATGGTGCTTCTCCAGGGAATCAGTGCTGCTGACTGAACCTCCCCGAGGGGAGCTTGTGACTGCTTTGGTAAAGTTTCCTTGACTAGTAGAACTCAGCTGTTTAGTGCATATTTCAATATAAATGTCGACATTTCACTCAAACTTGTTGATGTCTTTCTGTTTCTTTTATCAGTTTAGATTCCACTGGGGAAAAAGGGATGGGTTTTGATCTTTCCTTATCATGAGCAAATTGAATACTTCAGTCAACTTGATGCTTTTCTGTGGAATTGAATGTACCAAGCCAACTCTTATCACTTGTCTTGTGGGATGTGAGGGCAGGGTGGCTGAATGGGGTGGAGTTATAAGAAATCTTAGGTAGATAAAGGGAAAAATTGCCAAATGAAATGTTTCAGGGTGCTCAAGAGTTTCTGGCAATAATGCTTATACTATAAGCTGACGCTTTTGCTCTTTATTTTTATTTTTAAATGTATTTAGTACAAAGTCTACGGTGTCTCACTGCACAGATCCACTCCTAGTAATCCTCCTGTTTTCAGCTTCCCAAATGCTGGCATTACAGGTGCATGACCCCACACCCAGTCTCAGTTGCCCTCTCAGCACGCCCCCAGGGATTGAACCGCTGAGCTATCTGGCTGGCCCTACTCTTTTTTTTTTTTAAACATAAATTCAGTGTTGAGAATTTATATACATAGAATATCCTGAGTTCTACTGTTGGTTCATTCCTCACACTAACAATCACCAGTTTTATGTTGTGTGTAGATTTTTGTAACCTTGGAAAATCTTCCCTCATGTCCCCCGTTTTTACTTTAGTAGTAGTAGTAGTAGTAGTGGTGGTAGCCGCCATTTTTAGTTAGGGTTTCCCTGTGCAGCGTAGGTTGGCCTCAAACTCAGAGTGATACACCTGCCTCGCCTCCTGAGTGTTGGGATTACAGTTGTGCACCACCATGCCCGGCTTGCCAGCTTTAATTCGATCCTCCAAACAACTTACACTTCTGTGTTCTTCTGTCATCTAGTTTCAAAACCCCCTCAGGAGCCAGGTATGGTGGTGCATAGTCTGATGCCAGTGCTCTGCAAGGCTAAGACGAGAGGACTGCAAGTTCAAGCCCAGCCTAGGCAGCATAACAATTTAATGAGACCTTTTCTCAAAAAATAAGGGCTAGGTATATAGGTCAGTGTGAACTTAAGTATCCATAGCCACAACAGTAAAGCCTCAGGATGTTGCGCTTGATGTGTTTCTGTAGGTTCATCCCTATTTTGCTATTGACCAAGGAGCCCAGGGACTAGGCATTACATACTGTCAGAGGGTCAGTTGTAACGTGTTTGGTTGCTCTAGGATTGGAACATAGCTTTTAAGGAACTTCAGAGGTCTTGCCCTTGGCACTACTCATTCAGCCTGAGGCATTTCACCTCTAGATACTGACTTGCTGAATTTATGGCAGATCCTTGCTTTTCTTTCAGTGGAAGGTCCTGGGATAACAATCTTTCCATTTGAAACAGCTTCTTTTGGTCTTTTTGCTGCTGTTATACTCCAAATTCTATCTTCTCTGTGGTTGTAAGAATTATTACATTTATTTAAAAGCATCGGCTGGCTATCCTCTTCCTTTTTGAATTAAAATCTAAAAGAAAGGGGCCGGGGAGATGGCTCAGTAGAATAAGCGCTTCCATGGTAAGCGCAAGGGCCTGAGTTCAATCCTCAGTTCCGCAAAACAAAAAACAAAAAAAAAACCTACTTTGGGGCCAGGGAGATGGCTCAGTGGAGTAAGCACTTCCCTGGCAAGCGCAAGGGCCTGAGTTCAATCCCCGGTTCCAACAACAACAAAAAAAATCTAAAAGAAGGACAGGCAAGATAGCTGAGCAAGACTAAGTGCTTGCTTAGGCAAGCGCAGGGACCGGAGTTCAAGCCCTGCACCACATGCTGAACTGGGCCCCAAGGCACACTGTGCCAGCCACCAAGACCAAACATGGTGGCACATGGCTGTAATCCCAGCACTGGGGAGGCTGAACAGGAGGATCACTATGAGTCCGAGCTGCACAGTGAGACACTGTACCAAATACATAAAATTAAAAAATATATATAAAAGACTAGGGATGTAACTTGATGAGAAATGAAAAAATAGAAATACCTTAAAACATGGAGGCTTAATTCTATCAAAATACAGTGCAGGATTGTAATAGCTGGGTATAGGGACATAAACTTTTAATTCCAGCACTCTGGGAGGCTAGGGCAGGAGGATCCTAAGTTGAAGCTTAGCCACAGCAACCTAGTAAGACACCCGTTTTTCTTAAATTTTAGTAATGTAGGTTTGTAATGCATGATGATCATTCATTTGGGGGAGTTGCATATACATAACACATACTCTCCCTTCCCTTTCCCTCTATCTGTGAGATTCTGTCTTAAAAAGGGTTGGAGATATAGCCCAGTACAAAGGCCTTCATTCATTCTATACACCATGTTAATTATTAGAAATAAAGTAGACTAGGGCTGGCCGAATAGCTCAGTGGATTAAGGTGCCTGCAAGCTGGCTCAGGGACCAGGGGTTTGATCCTGGGGCCTGCTGTGCCAGCCCCACCCACAGGGCACGCTGAGCTGGCAGTTGAGACTGGGTGTGGTGATGCGTGCCTGTGATCCCCAGCTCTTGGGAGGCTGTAAACAGGCAGATCACTATGAGTCTGATCTAGTAGTAAGACCCTGAGCACCCTGTAGACCCTTCCCTAAAATACAAAAAAATAAAGTAGACTAGAGTTGGCAAATCTGCCAGGCATGGTACATGCGTGTAGTCCTAGCCCTTGAGGTATAGGCAGGAGGATCAGTGCAAACTTGAGTCCACCTTCAACTGTGTAGCAAAATCCTAGCTCAAAAAGAACCCATCTTGGGCAGGGGAGATGGCTCAGTAGAATAAGCGCTTCCCTGGCAAGCACAAGGGCCTGAGTTCAATCCCAGGTTCCACCAAAAAAAAAAAAAGGCCAAATTCAAATGCTTAGGAGGGATAAAACTGGAGTTGGTACCACAGTTGGAGACAACCATGAGGGTTTGTGTCAGACCTTCAGGAAGTACAGCTGTGTTGTCTGGTGTGAGCACAGAGCACAGAACAGGAACCTCAAACACAGATGTATTTACTGCTTGCCTCCCTACACTAAGTCAGCCTGCCCCAAACACTCTTCTATGGAACTATGAAGACAAACTGAGCTGGGTTACTCAACTGGCCTGTCATTACCTATCTTAGTAACATCACACCAGCTACAATTTTCTATGATCTCTCTCTCTCTCTCTCTCTCTCTCTCTCTCTCTCTCTCTCTCTGCCCTCTGCCCTCTGCCCTCTGCCCTCTGCCCTCTGCCCTCTCCCCTCTCTCCCCTTGCTCCCCTCTCTGCCCTCTCCCCTCTCTCCCCTTGCTCCCCGCCCCCTAAAGTCTTCAGCCTACTTGTTACCTTTTGTTTATGTGCTGATTCTAAATCCATTTACAAATTTTTGTATACTAATCAGGATATGCTATACATTAGAAAGCATTCATGGCACATCACAGAACTCCAGCATACTTGTGGACAACCACCAGTGTAGAATATTAAATCAAAGCTGATAAATGTAACATGACAGTTTTCATAACCTCCCTTCTCTTCAGTTCTGTCCTCCCACTCTACTTTCTTAACTTTCATGCCAATAGCACTGAACTTCAAGGCCCATGCCTTAGCCCCTAGTTGAAATTCCTTGTTTGGAGTATGTTCCTGCTGCTTTGCTAGGCGAGCCCCCACTTAACCTTTACCCTACATGGCTGCGGATGATGGCACATACCTGTAATCCTAGCATTTCAGAGGCTGAGGCAGAAGGATCACCAGGAGTTCAAGGCCAGACTGCATCTGAAACCCTGCCCGGAGGCCTCCTGGAGTGCTGCTGAGGCAGGAGGTGAGGGTATGGCAAATTGGCCGGGCAAGTATGCATGACCTGTCATTCACCCTGATGGGGGAAAAAGCGGCCCTACCTGCACATGGGACCAATCAGAAAGCATGACCTTGTTGGGTGTGGTGATGCACGCCTGCAAGCCTAGTACTGCAGAGGCTGAGGCCAGAGGATTGCCGCAAGTTTGAGGCTAACCCGGGCTAAGTAATGAGTTCTAGGTAATCTGAACTACACAGTAAGACCCTATCTCAAAAAGAAAAAAAAAGTTCTACCTTGCCTTCTGGTCCTAAGAATTGAAGTTTTTGATAGGACAGCCTAGAACTGATGTCAGCCTGAGGAGTGGGAGATAAACAACTGCAGCCTTTCAGCTCTTCGCTGCTGTGTTCTTTGTTTTTGTTTTTGTTTCACGGTCTGCTCCCATCCAGCAGGGGTAACTTCGTTTTCTACTTAGAACTGGCAGCGCTGGCTCTGCAGACCATGTTTCTTTTCCTGCCTTGCTACCTTTTCCACTTGGCTTGACCAATTTTTTGTTCAGGGCAGAAGGAACCTAGAAAGCAAGCTGCGAAGGAGATGCTGAGTTCCCCAACTTGGTAACACTTTCTGATTGCTACTTTCTGCTAAGGTCTGTGTTGGGTTGTGCTGCCCTGCACTTGGTATTATGTCTGTGTCTGTCTCTGTGTGTGTCTCTCTCCTTTTTTTTTTTTTTTTTTTTTTGGCAGAACTGGAGATTGAACTCCAGCCCTTGTGCTTGCCAGGGAAGCACTTACTCCACTGAGCCATCTCCCCAGCCCCCGGTCTTCTATTTTTCTTTTTCAGACACTGCTATGTAGTTCAGGCTGGCCTTGAGTTTACTTTGTCGCCCTGGCTGGTCTC